TTTCAAGTGAGTTGCATCCTTTTAATCGCACTATGCGTAGTAAATCTTCTGGTAAATTATAGAGAAATACGTTCATTGACATGTAATCGTAAATGGTGATTTTACTATTGCGCAGATTTACGTCACTAATTCGGTTTACTTTTGCAAATAGTGTACTTTTAATATGCTGTATTCTATTACAAAAATCAAGATAAGATTCGCCATTGTTAATTTTTAAAGTCTCTAATTCAATCGCGATACATTCTTCGAAACGTGGATCACCGAAATGTTGTTCGAAAGCTAATTTAAGTTCATTCCATGTCTCAATGTCTGGTCTTTCACTTATTAATGTTGCTGCTTTGCCTGTTAGTTTGGATGTAATGACTTGGTATATATATAGGTCTCGTTCTAGATTGCCTACTTCTCTACATATTTTAATTACATATTCACATTTTCTAATAAAAATATTTAATAAACTTTCATCACCGTCGAATTTGGGGATGATTCCTGAAAGTTCTTTGGGAATCTGTGTGATCTTAGTCATTTTTTTATTTTTTTATTTAATAGTATTTAAATATTTTATAAAATTTTCATTCAATATGTACTTATGTTCTAATTAAAAAGAAATATATAGTGCAAATCGATTTTTGGAAAATACACTACGTATCTCTCGACACTTATAATTAATGTGGAATAGGATTGGATAAAATCAGATGGAATAGCGATAAAGTCTACTCACATGCTGTCCATGTCCCTCCTGGTGAGTCTTAATCTGGAGCTCTGCCTTGGCCTGCCGTTCTTCTTGACGAATTTGTTTGGTTCGAGGATTCTCGTATGAAAACGTTAGAAAACGCTCGTCGAATTTTCCTGATTTTAAGTAAAACTCGACGCGAAAATCCTACCGGCTGCGCCAGTCAAGTGTTGTGGGAGCCGGAAGGCCTTTTAAAAATACGACTTTTTTTAATTAGACATGTATATTGATCACAAGTGCTAACGAAAGTTCGAATGCTCGCTACCAGAGTTAGCTTAAAAAAAACTTACAATGCTATTGTTCTTATGCTAGAGAAATATTATGCAGGAAATGCATAAATGATTCATCGTGAATCCAGTTAGGATTTGCACTTCCAGCAGATCCTATTCGCCCATCCCTGACAAAGTGATCTTGGTATCGTAATCGCGGAAACAAAGAACGGATGGACTTTGACCGCAACGGGTACTGTTAAGCACCTCTCTCCGCCGAAGTTACTGAGTCTACTTGATGAGCACCACTTCTGCCTATAATTCTGTCGGGTTTTTGAACAGTAGTTATTCCGGTCTCTTCAAATTAGTGGTTGAGGACTTGGTGAACGTCATGAGGGTAAAATGCGAGCACAAAACACGATGATTATAGTTTTCACAACATTTAATTTAGTTTCATCACGTTTAAATAAAGATGGCGCCTCGACCTCACTCAAGCCACGTGCTCTGCTCTGATTGGTCGTTACCCCTTAAATGGACGATTTTTGTTTCACGTTTGAAAAAAATATATTTGTGTAATAGACATGTATTACTGTCTAGGAAAAATGAGTAAAAAAAATCTAGACATGAATTTACTATACTTTTTTTTGCAATAATGTGAGTGTTGTTTATAAACTACATTGCGCATTCATTGAGATTTTGCAAGTATGGGTAAAATAAGAGTGGATATTGTTTTTGAAATTTATTTATTTATTCTTCATTATGATATTTATAAAGACAACTGCTTTTATCACATAAAGATACACGACATTTTTGGTACAATTTGAATGTAAAGCCTGAACATTTTGGGAATTTGTACCTCTGCTGTTTATTGTTAATGTTCCCAGTGAGAAAATTCCTTCCTCAGCTAATAGTCTAGTCGACAAGTTAAAAATGGTACAAAATAGAGATACAGCTCTTAAAATTACGTGCGATAGCTCATTGGATCCGGAATGACCTCTAGAAAAATGTGCCAAAAGCGTGTATTAGCACAAAAAATTGCAAAAGTTATAAACAATTAAACATGAAAAAAATGGCATTTCGTTTTTTGCCAATATTTCATAAACTAATAATATTTAAGAAATTTCAAAAAAAGATTCTGAAAGAGGAGGAAATTTCCAATAAAAAACTCCTAACTAAAAATAAAAAAAAAACATATTCAAACTACCCCTTTAAAAAAACCACTCGTATCTTGTGGGATACATTGCCAAATTATCTATGACTTGATTATATAATAATTTATATGAAAATAAATATAAAAAACACGTTAAAAATCAGTAGTACTATTTATTTAATAACAAAAATGGAACTTTAATGAAAAAATACAAAATCAAATTAATTTTAGACATTCATATTATAGAAATTGAAAAAACAGTTCCTATCCGGTAAAAGACACAGTCTCATTTGATGCACATAACAGTAGTCTGACCTTTGATACATAGTTTGCATCGTCCTTTGGACCCAAAAGTAGGGAAATGATTGTATCCATCATATTTAACGTCCTTCGCAGTTGGCCTTACGGTACAGGGTGTTTTTATAATCTTTTTTGGTGGTACAGAATCATAGTTTTTGAATGGCTGCTGTCTCCCAGAACGTAAGAGCCCTTGTATAATATGATGTCGAAACTTCTTTAAACTCAGTCGTTTTATGTTATTCACGCCAATATGTCTGCGATACAAAATCCAGCTATTGTTCGTAATCTATCTATCCGAACCGGGAGCTTTACGTGGTCGCAAATTTTTAATTAATTTCTCGACTTCATCGCTGATAACCGGAGTAATTGAGTCAAGTAGGGGCTCGCTTTTTCTCCGGTCGACCTTGCTGTCCACCTTTCGGAGGTGATCAGGGTCGATCGTTTGGCGACTAGGGCAGCACTGGGCTTCGAGACTGTCAGCCAGGCATTCGGCTTTATCTTCGTCCAACATGGCTGGTGGCATATTTGAACGAGAGAGCGGTGGCATCGTCGAGTACGTGTCGCCTTTAAGTGACTTGGGAAGTCGCCAAAAGGCTAAGTGGGATGGCTTTATGTTACGAAGTGTTGAATCCCACCGTTCGTTCCTGAATGCAACTATGCGTGTTTTTACTTCACGTTTTAATTTACGTAGCTGTTTTCGGTTCGATTCAGTGGGGTACAAATCGTGAGCTCGGGTGGCCGCGTTCTTGCGTCTCAACAAGTCTCTGGCATTTGGTGGAAGTGCCCAGCGTTGGTTGACTGACTCTGGCATCTGCCTTGAGCAGTCGTCGATGGCGGTTTGGATATGACTTGTTAGAGAGCCGATCGCGGCTCCGCCGTCCGTGTCATTTATTTGTATTAATCCGTATATATATATATTAATCCGTGTTAATTAGGTCGGGGACAGAGTTTAGTTGTGGGGAATTTATGTCTTTGAGCTTGGCACTAAGTTTGTGCCAGTCAACAACTGTTTTAGTTGGAGGGTCAGTTTGTGCCGAGGTCCCTAGCTTTAGTAGAACTGGTCGGTGATCCGAGTGAAGCTCATGAATCACCTCAACGTTACGTAAGGTTAGGTTGATATTCTTGATGATTGCAATATCAAGCACATCCGGAGTGTGTCCCAATGTATGGGGATAGTAAGTGGGCTCTAATGGCGCTATGAAATCAAAATCGAGTAGGTCAGACAGTGCGTCAAGCGCACGGCCGCGTTTACTGATTCTGGTAGAGTTCCATCGAATGTGTTTGCTATTGAAATCACCTGCAAGGATCGTGGCTCCTCCTAAAGATAGAAGGGATTCAAAGTCGGAGCGTAATATGGTTGCGCTTGATCTACAGGGAAGGTAAACTGAAGCTATTGTAATGGGGGCGTGACCAGTCATGGCCAGCTGACAGATCGATGCCTCTAGATGTGTTAGCGTGGGCGTATCGATGGGTACAGAGTGCAGGGATTTCTTATAGTAAATAATAGTACCACCGACTGGGGCGCCGGTTCTGTCATTTCTAACGATGTTATAATTAGAGACTTTAGGGTCTCTCATTGTCGGTTTAAGAAATGTTTCCTGCACGAGTAACACGTCGACTTGACGGTCGCGGAGGAATGTATGGATTTCGTCGCGTTGGTTCCTAACGCCGCCATTCGCGTTATTGACGGCTATACTAATTGAACGCGGTTTGACTCTGCCATTATTACGCGCGAGAGACGGATGACTACAATTATTTAACGCGTTTGCAGCCATCGATACGCCTAGTTGTGTTCGAGAGCACATACGATGTGCTTGTACTTTTTAATTAAGTACAGTCGGGTTCCTATATTTCCTGACGCTTTTTAGTATTCCTCAGCACATGTTAGAACTTCCTCCATATTGAGGCTCGTAAGACGGTTGAGGGATTCAAAAGAATTCCCTGTCGTTTTAGGTGGTGCAGGCATTGCCGCCGGCTTGACCGGTGCGGCTTAGGAATGGACACGGTGGATGTATGAATCAAATACCCTTGAATTGTCCATAAGAGTCAATATTAAATATACCTCTACATTGCGAACATTTTTTGCGAACAACCTCTATTTAACGAATTTTGTCAACCCAAAACCTCTATATAAAGTTGCAGTGTCACTAATGTATGACTTTTAATCTCATAATATGTGATTCATGTTGCGACATGTTTCGACACGCTTTCGTTTGTAAATCAATCTTCGACACGCTTTTGTTCGTAAATCAATCATTGTTGTTTGATGGAAAGTAATGTTAACACTTATTCTCGTCACAATTGTCAAAGATTTAAGTTAAAATGGCTCAGAAACGTAAAAGGTGTTCCTTATCGGTCGCAGAAAAGCAAAACATAATTAATTATGTGGACAAAAATCCTATGACGAAAAAATTAGCCATAGCTGATAAGTTCGGGATTCCCGCAAGTACATTGGGGACAATTTTAAAATTTAAAGATAAGTTTTCAGAAGAAAGTGGTTTGCCTGTAAATAGTAGAAGATTAAAATCCTGCGAGTTCAAAGACGTAGAGGAATGTGTGTTGAAGTGGTTAAAACAGTGCCGAGACAAAAAAATTACAATCGGAGGCCCTATTCTTCAGGAAAAGGCTCAGCAGTTTGCAGTAGAATTGGGACATGAAAAGTTCCGCGCTAGTAACGGGTGGCTTCAAAATTTCAAAAAACGAAACGAGATTGTTTTTCGAAAAATATGCGGTGAAAGTGTTAATGAAACAGTATGTGATGATTGGAAAGACAAACTGGCAGAGCTGACCGCCGGATACGATCCCGAAGACATCTTTAACGCCGATGAAACTGGACTATTCTATAAATGTTTACCTGACAAAACCTTATCATTCAAAGGCGATGAATGTAATGGCGGAAAAAACAGTAAACTTCGCTTGACAGTACTGCTGGGAACAAATTGTACTGGGACCTACAAACTTAAGCCACTCATCATCGGAAAATATAAAAAACCGCGATGTTTTAAAAATGTCAATAATCTGCCAACAGATTACACATCTAACCATAATGCTTGGATGACCAGTAATGCTTTTTCCAATTGGCTTCAAAGTCTAGATAAAGAGATGAAGAAAAAAAACAAGAAAATTATAATGTTCATCGATAATTGTACTGCACACGGAGAAATTCCTAAGCTGAAAAATATAAAAATAAAATACTTGCCTCCAAATACCACTTCAAAACTTCAACCACTGGACCAAGGCATCATCCAAAGCTTCAAAATGCATTATGGGAAGGAAATTGTCAGACGGTTTCTTGCTGATCTTGAACGCCAAACGCCCACTACAATTGACGTTTTACAAGCCATGTGGAGGCCATCGCCAAAGCTTGGAATCTAGTCACTGAAAAGACCATTGCAAACTGCTTCAAGAAGAGTGGGTTTAAAGTAACATGCGAAGATGAGGAGGACGATTTATCACTCGCAGAACTTGCTAGGACCTGGCAAAGAGTTCAAGAAGAATCGCACCTTCAAGAGACTGAGTTCGAAGACTTTGTTACCTTTGATAATGATTTAGCCGTTTGTGGAGAACTAACTGATGCTGACATCGTCACATCTGTGTTGCCGGTTACTAATGCAAAAGTGGATGAAGACGAGGAAGAAGGGGGCGAAATTGATGAGCATAACTTCACAATAAAAGATGCTTACAATGCTTTAAATATAATAAAATCGGTGTTTCTCAAAAAGGGAGGTTTGAGTGACGATATAGTCAAATCCATCACGAAATTGGATTGCGCTTTGGATGTAATAACTCTTACCGGTGGTAAACAGACAACTATTTATGACTTTTTTCCTAATCAAAATGAACAAAATTGAGATTAAGCTACTACATATGTATAACCACATTTTTGATTCTTTACCCTTAATTCGTGAGTTTTGTTGTACGAATCTTTGAAATTAACTACATAATGTTTGCACCCACAAAGATATGTACCTACAAAAAAATTTTGTTACTTGCCTAATTGTTTTTAAATAGAAAACACATACAGTAATTTGATAAAAAAGAGTTATCATTTATTAGTAGAAGTTGTTCGCTATAACAAGATGCGTACGTAATGTTGAGGTGAATAAAACTATTTTTTTACCTCTTTATAACGAATTTTAGACCATCCTAACCTTAACATAACGAACCTCAGTTTAACGAATTACTCGATATAACGAATATTTACTTGTTCCCCTCCGATTCGTTATATTGAGGTTGCACTGTATTATGTACTGTAAAAATAGAATACAATATTTAAGTTTTACTTCTCAAATAAATTCATATAATTATCATGAACCTAAAGATTCCGCATTTTAACTCTTTTGTTATTACTATTCTCCATAGATGTGTAACCTATAGATTCCTTAACGAGGAAAAATAATGAGCTTAGGAGGCATATTTTGGCGAAAAGTACCTGTGTTGAAATTTAAATTACTTGTAAGAAAATTGTATACAATCTCTGTTTATTTTTTATTACTTAGTTCAAAAAAAGTTTAAGATATAATATAATAAGTTGTGATATTTGTAAAATCCAAATTTAATAAATTAATTTTGTTTCATATTTTTCACTAAATGGTATTTTTTTTATCTTTTGTACTTGATACTTAATTCCCTATATTTTAGTATATTTTTATTTTCTATACACTGCATTTCCCAATTTCGAGAAAATCTTATTATGTTAGTGTATATTTTATATTAAAGTCTAATACATATTTCTAAAAATTGTCATAATATTAACATCAAACTAATATTTATATTATTATAATATAAATTATACTAAATTATAATATAAATAATGTATAGGTTACACATCTATATTGACATTAATATAGTTATTATGCTAGTGCATTTCATGCAACATGGTAACTCTTTTTTAGATTTGCGGTTAAACTACTCCATATAATAAGTTATTTTTCAAAATTTAGTTTAGAATTACAATATTTTAAACAGTCAAACTTTGTAGCACAGATGTTGCAGCGACATGCAGTCAGTAATTCTGAAGCAGAATCCTTCATTTAATAATTCTGTAGAACTTGAAGAGGTGCAATCATTCATCTGCAACAGTATGAAATGGTAATTAATTGATTCAAGTCTACAACATAATCAATATTTTTATTGCTTTTCACCTAATTACATACCTTATTAAAAAAAAACTGGTTATCTTTGATTATATAGATTTCTCCCCATTTACTTACAAAACTTCTTTGAAATTCAATTCTCTACAATGATGGAACTCACAAACCATGTAAAAATGATGATTAGTTTTCTACAGGTACAGATTTTTTGGA